CAGCATTAGCCTCTGTGCATAGGTTGAAAGTAACCAGTGCTCAGCTCAGGAGATAAGAAGGTTGTGTTTACACAGACATCCTAATAAGCAGGAAAGACCAGCCTCTTTCCTTCAACCTAGTGAATATCCACAGGTCCTTTTTAGCCCACTAACCTGCTTGCATGATCCTTCCCTTAGTTACTGCCTACTGGGTTTTTGACAATGGCCTCCCAGGTCCTTTCTTTGGTCTCCTTTCAACTGCACCTTAGAATCAGAAACCTCTTGTTGAGGGATCATTTTCTAGTCCCTTCTGATCAGAGTTCTTGCCTTCCTCCCTGGAACATGTCTCTGAAGCACTCTGGACCTAGTGGTTCAAAAAGTTTCTCTGCCCTCAAAACTGACCTGTCCTTAGTCAGTCTGAAATGAGGTCATACTCCCAGCAGGAACTCAACAATCATATGTATGTTTTGTTACTTCCATTCTTGCAGACGTAATTTGTCAATACGATAGAGCACTAGACTTGGTTTGCTGTCAGAATCTTGATTATAGAGGTACAGTGAGTCTATAGCTGAGATTGCTCAAAATCCTGCTCCTAGAGGACTTATAAGGAGTCCATCAGAAAAACTGGGGAGATCAGGAGACAGTTTAAGATTTACTCAATAACAGTGTTGAATCATAGGTAACACAAACTCTGGATTCAGGACCCCACTTGAGGCCGTAGTTTTAAGGGTTGATTTGCTGCATTCTTTATCCATTGTTAATCCAAACAGACCTCTTAACCCTAGTGAAGGACCACAAATCATAGTTGATTAAGTATTGAATCTGTATGGGACTGTCAGGAACTCATATTATGCTGTGGTTGAGTAAATTAACAGAGAAACATGGCCAAGATATACAGGGCTACCTTTGGGGAAGGGATCCAGAATCTAATCTGGTTTAGTTCATGGAATTCCCATTTTCTGTCTTTGCCAAAGGAGAAGAAATGAGGTTCTAGAATATGGAAAAATGTAGCCGAGGTGTGACAATGAGGTATTCTCCATACACAAATGACTTGATTGAGTTCAGGAATTTGGGGAAGTGTGAGTTCAGAAAAATGCTGAGAATTTGGGAGCAGTTTAGGTCCTAAACTGAGGTTTCAGAATTCTCAGAAATGACAGCAGGGACAAATGCCACCCACGATGGCTAAACCAGTTTGCTTCATAGTATGGATGTATTCTTAATACAATTCATTATGCAAGCTTTTATGTGAGAAGAAGACTGAAGATGGCCTGTTGGATAATGAATGTACAGAGGATTTGGATGTTGCTTTTGAGAAGGGTGGGGAAGGGCAGAACCTCACAATTTGTTTCTAGACTGGAGACAAGCAACCAACCTCTTCTTTCAGGAAACAGAAACCCAGGAATGGATAATCATTAACATATGGAATGGACTATCTCCATGGGCCTCCCCCACCTCAATCCTGCTTCCCTCCACATCAGTGGAGTAGATAACGGGAGTTTCAGCTCTCCTAGTATGGAAGAAGAAACTCTATTGTTGTACATAACTTGAATTGGGGGAGGAACTTTCTGTTTCAAAGATCAAAGCTTACCATTTATAGAAGAAAAGTCCCTAAGGAACAAAATGAACAATCTTTTCTCTCCCCCCTCATGCTCTGTCCACCTTCTTTGGGGTTAATTAATGCACCATGTCCAAATGTATGGAACTGATTAAAAGTCTCCAACAATCTTCAGTGTATGCTGTGTTGTATTTAATCTTGAGTTGGGATTAAGAATTAAGGGATCTTTTTCTTCAGTAGAAGAGAAAAACATTTGACTGCCTTTTAGATATTTTCTCCTCCTACCAATATTTCCAGATGCTCAGTTCATATCAGTAAGGACTGTAAAGCACCTTCAGATTCCTCGGGGGAAAACCATGGAAATAACATGCTGACTCACAAGGAAGTTTACCCATTGATAGGGCTGGGGGGGGGGGGGAATCCTCTGAAGTCAGGATTTTCCCTTCATGAAATGCCAGCCATTTGATAAAGACTGTTGCCAGATTAGATAACAGTCTTCTATGAAAAATACCGTATTATCAGCATACCTCAATAGATCCACTAGAAAGAAGCTTGTCCTGCTGAAAAACAAAATTTCTATTCATACATGTCATGGGACACCTGGAGAAATAAGTCATTTTGAAGTGACTATAGTTTTGTGTCACCCAACATGGCTTAATGGCAGATAGTCGTGCTACATGCTAAGACCTAGTTACCCAACATTTTGGGGTTGATGTTTGGAATTTTGAGAATAGGGATCTGCTGGATAAAACTTGTTTTATTTTACAAAAAGGACTGCCACAAACCTACCAGTCCCTTAAAAAGTAAGATGGATTTAAAGCTATCCACAATTTCAGTGATTTCTATAATCCCTGTTTATTGTGCCTTGTGCAGGTGTTTTTATTTTCTAAAAAGTGAGGCTAGTGGGTGCCAAGGAGGGTACGAGCAAGCATGCTGGTTTGTGGGAAACATT